GTCATCAATTTTTTGAGGAGATAAACGGATGCATTTTGATTAAAAATGTACCATGTTTACAGTAACTTCAAAACGTTTAGAAGATTGCAAAGCATTCAGTTTTGCAATTCTTGATTTAAACAATAAAATAAATTGACTCATTCATACATTTTTTTGAGCTATCCTGTATAAGCAAATCCGAAAAATGTAACTAAAATTCATTCATCATATTTTCTACATTTTAGATGGGATTTATTCAGCCAAATTTTAAGGTGACGTCATGAATTTTTTTGGGGGGGGGGGGGGAGATAAGTAAATATATTTTGATTACAAATTTACCATGATTATGATAATTTTAAAACATTTGCAATATTTCAAAGCATTTGGTTTTGCAGATTCAAAATTTAATCGCAAAATATTCGATTTTTTACCCAAAAACCTAGACGTTTTGGGTAAAAACTCAACACGGATTCACAAACTACACGTGTAGAACTGTTATTTTACACAATTTAAAACGCATTTACTTTGTACAATTCTGAGGTGAGGTCATCACATTGTTGGTGCGGATAATTAGACGAAGTAAATAAAATTTGGAATCGGCCATATATTGTACCCTTTCTTCTTAATATATATAATCTTTTTTTCAAAACAAGAAACTTAAAACATGTTCAAAATTTTGTGAACGAACGCATTCTGTACATAATCGCTGTAAGAAGTAGTAGTGTAATTCGAGTTATTAAGGAATAAATTGTTGAGTTTTATTTTATTCACCCGTACAACGTAACACTATTATACGCAAATGATCTTAAAATATATCATGAGGTGCGTTCAGTTGATGACTGTGTTGATTTACAACATGACTTAAATAGTCTTTTTGATTGGTGTTGTCGCAATGACCTGTTACTAAATGAGTCTAAATGTTATGTGGTTTCAACAATTTCTAAAACCTGCGCTACTTATAGTTTTATATACCGAAATTGCTGAGAATTCTCATATCTCTCGTTACTGCTGCTTTTATTTAGTACCCTAGTTAGATCTAGATTAGAACATGGCGCGACTTATGGTTTCCAAATTATAATATACATCTTTTGCATATGGAAACAGTACACTCTGGTATACCACGGATACTGACGCCTCTGATTATGTTTGAAGCAATTTGAAAAAAATCTCGGGGGCCATTTGTACCTTGTTTTTGAAGTACTTTAAAAGAATCTCGAAGGCCCCTTTGGTTTTATTTTTGAAGTAGCTTGACAGAATCTCGGGGACGCCTCATGTCTGGTTTTTGAAGTAGTTTGAAACAATCGCTGGGACCCCTTGGAATTTATTTTGAAGTAGCTTGAAAGAATCTCGGGGACGCCTCATATCTGGTTTTTGAAGTAGTTTGAAAGAATCTCGGGGACCCCTTCTTTATGTCTGGTTTTGAAGTAGTTTGAAAGAATTTCGAGGACTCTTTGTGTGTTTTTTTTAAGTAATTTCAAAGAATCTCAAGGACTTCTTGAGGTTTATTTTTGAAGTAATCTGAAAGCATCTAGGAGACACCTGGTGTCTGGTTTTTACAGTAGTTTAAAGCATTTCAGGGCTCGTTATGCCTGATTTTTAAAGTAGTTTGAAAGAATCGCAAAGACTCCTTGTGTCTGATTTTTGAAGTAGTTTGAAAGAATCTCGGGGCCCCTGATATCTGATTTCTGCAGTAGTTTGAGAGAATGTCGGGGACTCTTTGTAGCTGGTTTTTGAAGTAGTTTGAAAGAATGTCGACGGCCCCACGTGTATGGTTTTTCAAGTAGTTTGAAACAATCTCGGAAACCCCTTGGGATTTATTTTTGAATTAGCTTGAAAGAATCTCGGACATGCCTCATGTCTGGTTTTTGAAGTAGTTTGAAAAAACTTGTGGACCTTTTATGTCTGGTTTTTGAAGTAGTTTAAAGCATCTCAGGGCTCCTTATGCTTGGTTTTTAAAGTAGTTTGAAAGAATCTTGAGGACCCCTTGGCGTTTATTTTTGAAGTAGTTTGAGAAAATCTTGGGGACCACTTGTGTATGGTTTTTGAAGTATGTAGTTTGAGAGAATTTCAGGAACTCCTTGTGCCTGATTTTAGAAGTAGTTTGAAAGAATCTCGGGGCCCTGATGTCTGATTTCTGAAGTAGTTTGAAAGAATCTCGAGGACCCCTTCGAGTTTATTTTTGAAGTAGTTTGAGTGAATCTCGGGGACCCTTTGTATCTGGGTTTTGAAGTAGTTTGACAAAATGTCGAAGGCTCAACTTGTCTGGTTTTTGAAGTAGTTTGAAACAATCTCGGGGACCCCTTGGGATTTATTTTGAAGTAGCTTGAAAGAATCTCGGGGACGCCTCATATCTGGTTTTTGAAGTAGGTAGTTTGAAAGAATCTCCCGGACCCCTTGGGGTTTATTTTTCAAGTAGATTGAAAGCATCTCGGGGACGCCTCGTGTATGGTTTTTTAAGTAGTTTAAAGAGCCTCAGGGCCCCTTATGTCTGGTTTTTAAAGTAGTTTGAAAGCATCTTGAGGACCCCTTGGGGTTTATTTTTGAAGTTGTTTGAGAAAATCTCAGGGATTCCTTGTGTATGGTTTTTTAAGCAATTTGAAAGAATCTCGGGGACCTCTTGAGGTTTATTTTTGAAGTAATCTGAAAGCATCTAGGGTACGCCTCGTGTCTGGCTTTTGAAGTAGTTTGAAGCTTCTCAGGGCTTCTTATGCTTGGTTTTTAAAGTAGTTTGAAAGAATCTTGAGAATCCTTTGGGGTTTATTTTTGAAGTAGTTTGAGAAAATCTCAGGGATCATTTATGTATGGTTTTTGAAGTATGTAGTTTGAAAGAATTTCAGGGACTCCTTGTGTCTGATTTTAGAAGTAGTTTGAAAGAATCTCGGGGCCCTGATGTCTGATTTCTGAAGTAGTTTGAAAGAATCTCGAGGACCCTTTCGGGTTTATTTTTGAAGCAGTTTGAGTGAATCTCGGGGACCCTTTGTATTTGGGTTTTGAAATAGTTTGAAAAAATGTCGAAGGCTCAACTTGTCTGGTTTTTGACGTAGCTTGAAAGAATCTCGGAGACGCCTCATATCAGGTTTTTGAAGTAGGTAGTTTGAAAGAATTTCCGGGACCCCTTGGGGTTTATTTTTCAAGTCGCTTGGAAGCATCTCGGGGATGCCTCGTGTCTGGTTTTTGAAGTACATAGTTTAAAGAACCTCAGGGCCCCTTATGCCTGGTTTTTAAAGTAGTTTGAAAGCATCTTGAGGACCCCTTGGGGTTTATTTTTGAAGTTGTTTGAGAAAATCTCGGGGACCACTTGTGTATGGTTTTTGAAGTATGTGGTTTGAAAGAATCTCAGAGACTCCATGTGTCTGACTTTTAAAGCAGTTTGAAAGAATCTCGGGGCCCCTAATCTGATTTCTGAATTAGTTTGAAAGAATTTCGGGGACCCCTTGAGGTTTATTTTTGAGGTAATCTGAAAGCGTCTCTGGGGCTCCTTCTGTCTGATGTTTTAAGTAATTGAAAGAATGTCGGAGACCCCTTGTGTTTGATTTTTGAAGTAGTTTGAAAGAATCTCAAGGACTCTTTGTGTTTGGTTTTTGAAGTAATTTGAGAGAATCTCGAGGACCCCTTGTGTCTAATTTTTGAAGTAGTTTTGGAAAAAATTTCGGGGATTCCTTGTGTTTTGTTTTCAAAGTAATTTAAAAGACTCTCGAAGACTTCATGTGTTTTGTTCTTGAAATAATTGAAAGTATCTCGGGATATATAAATACCCCGGCCACCGACTCCAGATTTCCAGGTTGTCATATATTATTCAATATACCTTCACCACCATGTGGTATTGATCCCACTTATACTTTTATTACCGACTTTTCCACTAAAGAAACTGCCGACAATATTTTGTTAAGTAGTTTCTATACTTCCCATATAACACGTAACCGCCACACCTTTCACAACCGCCCCCTTAGATGATGTACATAATACACATATAAAACTTGACAACAATCAATCCGGTAGTTTCGGAGATTATGTGTCTAACAAAAATTGACACAGACGTCGGGCGAACAGACAGATGGAAATGGGACGCTCATTTTTTCGTACCTAGGAGTCATGACCTATCGAGAAAATATGAAAACAGCCAGTCGCCCGATGGACTCGATTACAATACTTCCTTAGCTTACTGTCGGGAAGTAAAAATCACTCATAGTAGGCGTTGGAATTTCTTTTGACACAAACGGCATGTCTATTCTTATAACATCCATTTAGCAAAATATTACTTGTTATATGTTGTAAGAACAGACATGCCATTTGTGTCAAATGATATTCCACTGCCCATTCTGCGTAATTTTTCAATCAAAATATAATATAATAGTGACAATACTAAACAAAAATATGTAATTAAAAACATGGATAACTAATGATACCAACTTGAAAAATAATAGAAACCAAACAAGAACTGAAAAATAACTGGAGCTTCTATCGAGCTTCTAAATTTAAAATAAAACAGAATATAGTTAAATTTAAATAAATGGCAGATTTAGTTCTTTTTTGTTATTGTATCGGTTATAAAACTATATTTTTAATCGAACGTTATTGGACTATTTACATTACAGGTAAGATTTCCAAAGTTGATTTTTCCATCTCTATTTAACATTAATGATAATAGTTACTACTGCAATACCAATTGTTACCATAAAAATAGCGGCAAATCTGAGTTATTTAAAAAATCCAATGATAATAAAATGCGGCAATGATTTACAAACACTCTATCTATATTTATAATTGTTTTTTATTTTGATGCTTTTATATCATAAAATATATCAATTTCCATTTAAGAAAAAATATTGCGCGTTGATGTTCTTGTTTGTAGAAATAACGAATTTCTTTATGCCGCGATTAGCGACAGATCAATGATCAAGATCCAGTAACACAACTTCGTGCTTCCAGTATATCTGGCGCTGTCACCTATGCGTCGTAAATGGAAGCGGCATTTTTAAAATTAGCAAAAATGGCGCGTGCGCCGATTGATTCAAAAGCAAGTTCAATATTTGCGAGCAAGTGCTCCAAGTCCAAGTAAAATACGTCGCGTTTGGTTAAAAACGCACTGTTTTCACACCTGAACAGTTGCGTAACCGTAACACGAGGAAATCCAGCACTTGGAGGAATTCCGATGCAGTCTGTATTCGAAAGTCGGACCGGTCAGCACGTTCTGCTCGTAAACACGGTGCGTTTTTAGTTACGATTTTGGGTCAAGACGGAATTAGAATGTCATTAAAGGTGAGCCAATATCGATTTATTTGGATATTTTTCGTTTAATAATTTTTTTTGGATTAGAAAAAAATTGATGAAATTGTTTTGTGTACAGTTTTATGTGGGTAAAAAAAGTTAAAAAAATATTTATTCCCCCGCGTTCCTGTGTTTGTTTATATTAACTGTTTTTCGCTCTATCCTTGATCTTCAACTACAATAATAAATACGAAAACTGATCGTGTGCTGTGAATTTTGTTTTGTTTATTATTTTAGTGTTTCTTTTCGTTACAGAAGGAATCTTTGTCGGACGTTCAGCTCCACTTGGCTGCTTTAAACGGCGACTTGCTTCTTCTCAAAAGGATTCTGGATAGCGGCAAAGTACACGTGGATTCCAGAGATAAGGTAAATTAACATAAAGCAAACAAACAAGGTTGTTGGTTGAACTTGCGTTAAAAGTGAAGTGGGAATGGGCCAGCGGTAACTTTACAGATCACACTACTAATAAGTATATTAAAAATAGTTGCTGTCAAGTGGAGCACATAACGAGGTCAATACTTCTGCAAAATCACAAAAGAAAGCTGTGAGATTAATTTTGCATTAATAAGTTGTAAAGTGTGCGGTTACTCTCATTATTTTATCTAAACATCGTTTTCAGTGAGATGGGTAAACTTTCCGATGAGGAAGATAAACAAACATGTTGTAGTAATAAATGTGGAATAAAAATTACAAGTTTAACATTGCGAACATATAAGCAAATAAAGTTAAATTATATTTACGAAGCTTAAATTAGATTTTATCGTCACGTGGGCAGGTGGGAATACACGGTTTAAAGCGATCTGATAAGGCTTCCTTCCTCTGATGTCAACGGACTGATGGGGATAGAGGTGTTAAAAAGTTTTTTTTAATTGGCTGATAGTTGTTTACAAGGACAATTATCCAAATAAACATGTTTATTTGTAGCTAAAAAATAGTAAATATTGACAAATTAACACTTGGTAGACTTTGTAGTTATTCTTTTCCGAAAATATTTTCAAACATTTGTATTCTTGTCGTCGAAGAACAATGTATTATATGTATTATATGTAAAGCTTTCAAATATATTTATCAAGATTTACTAACTTAATGTTTGCTTTTATCACTTTAATTTTAGTTAACTGATGCATTTTACACTCAGTTTAGATTTTACTACGTACCTACGCATTTGGTACAATGCCATTTTCGACCTATGTTATTTTTATCCTAATTTTGAAGATATTATTATCGCTGATAAATAAGCGGTTGTTATTTTTACATAGCTGGAATAAAATTATACGTTTTTTGTACATTAAAAAATCCATTTTCCCTTAAAAAAAAAACAACTGTGTAATCAGTTGTTATTTATTTAAAAATAAGTATCTAGTAATCACGAAACACAAATAAAAAAACATAGATTTTTACTTGCGAAACAGTAGATTAGATATAATTATATGATCATTTATGTATTAATTTATATTACGATATTTTGAAACAACCTGTTGAGATTACTCACGTTTTTTTTTTGTTTTAATTAAACACTACACATTCTTTAATTAGAAAATCAATATACCTGCTTTTACTTTCCAAACCTCAGCTAGCGAAATGTTCTAATAATAATTAATAAGATCTATTTGACGAATGGCTAATTTCATATTTTCTCAGCGCTCCATAGCTTTCCAGATCTCCTATTTCCATCTTCCTGTCGTCTATGCACGAATTAAAACTGTTTTAATGATTGTTGTGAAATTTTAAATATATTTTAAAAATATGGTCTAGGTGCTAAAACACTATTCAAAATTTTGACAAATAATCCATTTTTTCTGTTACGTGCAGGGCACTTTTATTGAAAATCGAAAAATGGCAACTTACATATTTGTAGCTTATACACTGCGAACAATGTTTCTAACCCTCTCGAAACATGCCTTGTCAAAAAATTCTTTCTTGTCTTGTCGTTCTCTGTTTGGTTCCTTTATGGCTTACTCTAGTGTGTCACAAGGTAGCCAACTTGGTCCAATACTGTTTTTGCTCTTTACCAGTGAACTTAATTTGAATGTTTTTCACTCTATTACTTGATTATTGACGCTGTTTTCCTAAAAAAATTATAGATTATCCATATATCTTAAATCATTTATTTCTTGAGTAGGTACACAAATTTAATCTGGTATCCCTATTATGAAATTTGCACCGTCATACCACAGAATGCCGAGAAAAAAAAGATTAATTACTTGATATACAAATTAGGTCTTAATAAAGACGCGCATACTTACTTATAAGGAAAAGCTACATTATCTTTAAGTAAAATTAAATGTGAAATTCGTTTACAAAAAATACCGAGGAATCGAACAACCGAAAAACTTAAATAGAGAAATGAAAAATTTTAAAAATCGAAAATTGAAAAACCGAAAAATCGAAATCCGAAAAGTCGAAATATCGATCGAAATCGAAAAATTGAAAAAACTGAGATTTTGAAAAATTACCAAAATTGAAATGTTGAAAAATGGAGAAATCGAAAACTTGAAAAATCGAAAAATAAAAAAAATGAGAAGTCGAAACTTTAAAAATCCAAAAATTGAAAAAGTTTAAAATTGGGAATTCGAAACATACAAAATCGTAAAGTCTAAAAATGGAAAAACTAAAAATCAAAAACTAAAAATCGATACATTGAAGAATCAGAAACTAAAAAATCAAGAAACAGAAAAATCGCAAAACTGAAAAGCCGAAAAATTGAAAAACCGTAGAATCTAAAAGTCGAGAAATCAAAATTGAAAGATTGAAACATCTAGAAATCAAAACATCTAAAGATTGGAAATCGGGAAGCCCAGAAGTCGAACAATCGAAAATCGAAAAATTTGAAATTGAAACATTTAACTTAGAAAACCCTATAAATCGAAAAATTAAAAAATCGGAAGACTAAAAATTGAAAGATTTAAAAACCGAAAATTCGAGAATTTGAAGAATCGATAAAATTAAAAAATCCTCACACTAAAATGTTGTAAAATTGAAAAACCCAAAAATCTAAAAGACAAAAAATCGAAAAACCGAAAAATTTTTAGAAACATCAAAAGCTCAGAAGTTGAACAATCGAAAATCGAAAAATTTGGAATTGAAACATTTAACTTAAAAAATCCTATAAATCGAAAAATTAAAAAATCGAAACATCGAAATCGCGATAAATTGGAAAATTGGAAAACTGAAAATTGGAAAATTTAAAAACCGAATACATAATTGAAAACTTGAAAAATCAAAAATTTTAAAAATCAAAAAATCTAAAAGCTAGAATCGAAAAATTGAAAAATCTAGAAAACAAAAAATTGAAAAATTGAAAAACTGAAGTTTTGAAAAATCCTAAAATTGAAAAATCCTAAAACGGAAACATCGGAAACTTGAGAATTCAAAAAATAGAAAAATCGAGAAATCGAAAATTAGAGAAATCAAAAATATTGAAAAATCAATAAAATGAAGTCGTAAATCTGAAATATCGAAAAATCGAGAGATCGAAAAATAAAAAATCCAGAAATCGAAAATTCGAAAAATCGAGAATTTGAATAATGGGCAAATTGAAAAATCTTGAAACTCAAATGTTGAAAAATCTAAAAACCGAAAAATCTAAAATCGAGAAGTCGAAAAATCGAAAGATAGAGATATCGAAACATCAAAAAAAGTGAAAAATCTAAGATTTCAAAATACGAAAAATTGAAAATTGAAAACTGAAGTACTGAAAAACCGAAATATTGAGAAATCGAAATATCTAAAGTTGAAAAAAAGAAAAATTAAAATGTCGAAAAATTGAAGAATCGAAATATCGAATATTCCCAAAATTGAAAAATCCTAAAATCGAGAAATCGGAAAGTTGAGAAATTATAAAAATCGAAAAATTGGGAAATCGAAAAGTCGAAAAATCAAAGAATCGCTTAACAGAGAAATTGAGGAAAGGAAAAACCGAAAATTTCGAAACGTTAAAAATTGTAATATTGAAGAATCGAAATAATTAAGTAAATTGTAAAACTGAAATATCGGAAAATCGAGAAATCGAAAAATAAAAAACCGAGCAATCGCAAATTCGAAAAATCGAGAATTTGAAGAATCGACAAATTGAAAAATCCTCAAATTAAAATGTTGAATAAGTGAAAAACCGAAAAATCTAAAAGACAAAAAATCGAAAAACCGAGAAATTGGGAAATTGAAATTAAAAAATTGAAACATCTAGAAATCGAAACATCAAAAGATTGTGATATCGAGAAGCCCAGAAGTTGAACAATAGAAAATCGAATAATTTGAAATTGCAACATTTAACTTAAAAAACCCGATAAATCGAGAAATTACGAAATCGAAATATCGAAATCTTGATAAATTGGAAAATTGGAAAACCGAAAATTGAAAAATTTAAAAACCGAAAAATTGAAAACTTGAAAAATCAAAAATTGTAAAAAGCAAAAAATTGAAAAACCGAAAAATGTAAAAGCGAGTGAAGTCGAAAAGAAATATCTAAAATTAAAAAAAAACGAAAAATTAAAATGTCGAAAAATTGAAGACTCGTAATATCGAAATTTCCCAAAATTGAAAAATCCAAAAACTGAAACATCGAAATCTTGAGAAATCAAAAAATTGAAAAGTAGAGAAATCAAAAAATCGCTTAATAGAATAATTGACGAAAGGAAAAACCGAAAATTTCGAAACGTCAAAAATTGAAATATTGAAGAATCGAAAAATTGAATAATCGTAAAATTGAAATATCGGAAAATCGAGAAATCGAAAAATAAAAAACCGAGAAATTGAAAATTCGAAAAATCGGGAATTTGAAGAATCGACAAATTGAAAAATTGAAAAATCCTGAAAATGTTGAAAAATTGAAAAACCGAAAAATCTCAAAGACAAAAAATCGAAAAACCGAGAAATCGAGAAATCAAAATTAAAAAATTAAAACATCGAAACATCGAAAGTTTGTGAAATCGAGAAGCCCAAAATTTGAACAATCGAAAATCGAATAATTTGAAATTGCAATATTTAACTTAAAAAACCCGATAAATTGAAAAATTAAAAAATCAAAACATCGAAATCTCGATAAATTGGAAAATCGGAAAACTGAGAATTGGATCTAAAAGCTAAAAGTCGAAAAATCTAAAGATCAAGAAACAGAAATATCTAAAATTTAGAAAAATTAAAAATTAAAATGTCGAAAAATTGAAGAATTGAAAAATTGAAAAATGTAGAAATCAAAACATTGAAAAATTGAAAAATCGAAATATCGAAAAATTGCTAAATTGAAAAATCTTAAAACTGAAACATCGGAAACTTGAGAATTCGAAAAATAGAAAAATCAAGAAATCGAAAATTACAGAAATCAAAAATATTGAAGAATCGAAAAACTGAAATATCGGAAAATCGGGAAATCAAAAAATAAAAAATCGAGAAATCGAAAAATCGAAAATTTGAGTAATCGACAAATCGAAAAATCTTCAAACTCAACTGTCGAAAAATTGAAAAAGCGAAAAATCTAAAAGCGAGAAGTCGAAAAATCGAAAGATAGAGATATCGAAACATCGAAAAATTGAAAAATCTAACATTTAAAAATTTGAAAAATTAAATCAGGAAATCAAAACATCAACAATTCCAAAAATTGAAAAATCGAAATATCGAAAAATCCCAAAATTGAAAAATCCTGCAATCAATCCGACAACTTGAGAAATCGAAAAAGTCAGAAATCCAGAAATCGAAAAGTCAAAAAATGAAAAAGTCGAAAAAACGTAAAATCGAAACGTCGAAAAAGCAAAGAATCAATTTATAGAAAAATTGAGGAAAGGAAAAATCGAAAATTTCGAAATGACAAAAATTTATCCCACAAAATTTGAGATAAACGAATAAGTTTTGGTCAACAATTTGCCATGATTACGATAACCTTAAAATGTCTACAAGATTTCACAGGAATCGGTTGTGCAATTTCAAAGTTATAATGCAAAATATGATGTGATTGGTTCAGTTTTAATAAACATAGACCTGTTAATTTCTGTTAAACATAAACAATATAAAACAGTATTTAAAAAAATATAAAAAATTATCATAACACTAAAGATACTATGGAGAACGAAATACCTATAAAATAGCTAGAACGTTACGAAGATTTTTAAAAAAGGATAAACCAAGCCTACGAATGGACTCAGGTCAAATCAGGTCAGATGACAACACTACGAAAATGGATATTCACCACACAAAAAAATATGGTAATAAAAAAAACATACTATTTGCACGAAACCTTGTGCGATCCATATGAGTGGGCGAAAAAAGACTGCTAGTAATGTTGATGTACCAGTTTTAAAAGGTGAAAGATTTATCATATTGCACGCAAAATTGAAAGTCAGTCTGGTACAAAGCGACTCATTTTTCGTGATGCAAAAATTGTTTATCACGATAACGTGTTTCATTTTGTAAATTTGAAATTTATTTGTACTTTGAAAAATTATGCATAAAACTCAATTATTAGAACTTAATTAAAAAAATCGTAAAACGGGATATTATCGACGACCTTGCTAAATTCTATGGACGTATATACAGTTTTATGTCTGCCTCCATACCATTGAAGTGAAATCACAGGATCGGCGTAACAGCATTCTTCCAGAGTTAATAGTTAAGTATACTCATCGCTGTAGCATAATGAATGGCATCGTGGGGAAAAATTGTATAGCATCGTGAAAATCTATTGAACATCTGTAGAATTAGAGAAACATTTTATATGTTTATATGTCATTTTTTTATGGCCTAAAAATGCAGGTTTTCAAAATTTTATGAAAAAACCAACTTCAGATGGACACTTGAAAAGTTCGAAGTCTGGTTTGTAATACCACAGGAGTTATTTTTTCTAACTCCTATACATTAGTTATTCCTTATTGGATATTTACGATTTTTAGTTGTTTTACAGTTAAAATGTGTCAATAAAAATACCATCGTTTTTTAGTCGATTTAAAATACAATATTGACAAAAAACTTGGAGGTGTGATGACACTGTTCCCACAAATGTAAAAACTGCGAATACACATTTAGCACTTTGAACCATTGTAATATGAGACTGAGCCAAATGAATTTTATGCTAAATAATCAAAATGTCATAATAAGTCGTCATGAAAAGAACCAATTATAAATCTGCATATTTTAGAACAGTTGCGACTACTGATAACGAGTTTGTTATAATATTTTAACGATAACCTAAAACAACTAGTAAAATTTTGTGAAATTTAGTTACGTAAAAACGAGTTTTTTTTTTGTAGAATATATCTCAGCGAATATTTCTGTAACGGCTATTTTTTTAAACAAACTCTGTTTGTAGGTTATAAAGAAATGGTTATGTCTTTATAGCCAACAGTTATAAACGTTCTAATGGTACCCATTTTCGGGGAACACCCACCACCCGTTTATTTTCAAACTGAAGTACCTACGCTTGACACCTATAATTTGAAAGGTTGTATCTTTTTTGTGAGCGAAATTCAACAGTTAACACAAATTAATTGTTTCTTCAAAAAAGTTTCATAGAAAATAAGTGTACCAAATAAATTGAAAATAAATTACTGATAATAACTTCTGTCTTAAAAACACTGTAAATTATTAAAAAAAAAACCTGTTACTGTTACTGATAATTTTTAAGTCAGATGTTACAGAACACTCCTAACATTCATTTAATAATTTATTATGTCTATAGTGGCTTTGATTTAAAATGACATCAGAATCTATGGCAATAATAAAATACATAAACGTTTGTTAAATTTATTAGTCGTTTTATTTCACATGCTTACAAGAATATAAATAGTCCACAACAGCAACAAATTCGCATGTACTATAATTTAAACATTGAATTCAGCACGACTTGTGTTCTCATACGCTGACACACATCGTGATTCTAATTAATAAAACTTTGGTATATTAAACCCAACATGTAATCGTCAAGGATTTCTATCAGTTTCTTATGCAAATTTAAAATTTTCAGAGGCAAGATAATAAATATTTCTGAACTATTTCTAAAAATCGTAAATGATCTTATTTCCAGATTGTTACATAATACATTAATAAATCATTTTATTTACTCAATAAAAATCCATTATTTTCAAAGACATGCCGCTAAAAAACGACCATACTGCACCGATATTTCAATTTTTTCAGGAAGGTACAACGCCCCTAATTCTAGCATCAGCCAACGGCCACTTCGACTGCGTGCAAGAGCTCCTCGAGCAAGGTGCCGATCCTAAAGCAAAACGAATAGTAAGTTCGTGGGTCTTTCGCCAACCAAAAGCAACGTTTAAAAATTTGTAGACGGGAACGACTCCTCTCTTTTTCGCAGCACAAGGAGGCCACTTGGACGTCGTCAATATCCTCCTAGACAAAGGGGCTCCACTGGATTCAGCGAGTGTCGTAAGTGTACCGCTATAACTGTACCAAAAAGACAGTTGTTGCAGAGATGAAATTAACCTAAATAGAGAGATAAATGCATGCAATTAAGAGACATGTGCTTGTACAGGATGGGGGAAGTCCGTTATTTGTGGCCTGTCAATGCGGACACATGGATGTGGTTAAGGAGCTGGTGAAACGAGGTGCCAAAGTCAATACGCACATGAAGGTTAGCGCATTAAAAAATTGGTTTTATTTCTTTTTAATTTTTTTTGCATGAATTTTGACCGGAAAATAACTAAAGAACTTTCAAAATTTGGAGCAGTTGGCGACAAATATTTGACTTTCGGTGGTTGGATGTATTGTTGCAGGATAAAGCCACACCACTTTTTATCGCCGCCCAGAATGGCCATTACAAGGTGTTGGTGTTTTTGTTAGCGCAGGGCGCTATTGTAGATGCCAGCAGGACGGATGGAGCCACTCCTTTGTGGATATCCGCTCAAATGGGCCATGATCATATCGTTGCGCAATTATTGCGCGCTGGGGCAAGGGTGGATGCCGCCAGATACGTAAGTGTTTTTTTTATAAAATTTTTTTAAAACTACAGTTCTTATGTTTATAGGACGGGGCTACTGCGATTTTTAAAGCATCGCACAAAGGACACTCCGCCGTTGTTGGAGAATTACTGAAATACAAGCCATCACTGGGTCTTCTTTCGGTAAATATATGAATATATTTTTTACCTTCAATATTCAAGTACTGAAGAAAATAAATTGCCGCATATACATAGTACATGAAGTGCAAGGAGTCGTGTTTTTGCACTGATGATTATAGTAATTCATTTTTTACTGTCGTAATTACACGGTAGTAACAGTTCGAAAGTGCCATTCATATACCAGTGATTGCAACTCTAATTTAAAATTTTTTCGCTTGACGTGGTCGTTGACGAAATTACTGAATAGAAGCAATAAACAAATAAATGTAGCAATAAATGATATTTGATATGGGTGTTTATTAAGTTTATACAAACAACACGAGTGCAACAGACTGTAAAACGAACTTTTAATTGTATTAAATTAAAATTTATAGTGAATTTAAACTAATCTATTCCATCACTGTCACTACTTTCAGCTTCTTTCTGGTTTCCAATTTCAACTATTTTTTGTGCCGCATTTTTAGGTGTGTGCACACTTGTATGCATTAATCCTTTCCATTTTTAGTTTTTTATGCGATGAATATATTGGTGATGACTGATGAGTGTTTAAATCATGTTCGTTTAAAATTTATGCACGCTTGCCAGGTGTAATAATTTTTGTTACATGCACGTAGGATCTATAAATTATGTCATTTTTGTTGATCTATTTTTTATGACTGTTTTCCGTCAGTTGCGTTTTAGTTACAACCATATGGTGTGTACGTAACGTTATCCATTATAATTGGTGATGGTTTTTTCAAATTTTAATTAATTTTACTTTTTACATTTTTACAAAATTTTGTTTTCTTTGTATATTAGATATGTAAAAAATTTTCTCGCATGATGATTGTTAAGAGTAAAAAATTCAGCTTGAAATTATAAAATGAAAAATATTAATCTCGTTGAAATGCATGTATTAAAAATCGGTTGTTGTGCAAAGTAAATAAAATTTGATAGGCAGCAGTTTGAACAAAAAATATTGTCTTCAGAGTATACCATATATCTTTAAAATTACACTGTCGGTATTTCAATATTCAATTAATCCTATTCCAAGGTCCAAGATTTTTTCATCGACCTCAAAAATCTTTTTCAAAAGACACATTATTATTGCACTTTTCACACTAACTTGTCCTAAAGTATATTCTAAGCTTGTCTTTTTATAGGCTTTTAAGTTTTTAAGTTTGTTTTTGGAAATTTTAAATTCCCACTTACTTTAAACTGGCATTTCGAGAATCAGCCACTTTACGAATTTCCAGAAAATTTGTTAAACGCACTTCATGGAAAATATTTACCTTCTTTTTTCGACAACGTCTAAAGATAATGACAGGTTAAACACAACGTAGTGAAAATATTTACCTACCTTTTTATTTAAAGATAACAAAGGATCGTCGTTTACATTTTCCGTGCGGAAATATTTTCTTTATCAACTACGATTTTAGCAGTAGATTTTATCAGATAAAAACTGTTTCAGGAAGATAGAATTCTGCGTTACCAAATGAGATTGTTTGTTCTAGATAAATGTATACACAGAACGTTATTTTTGCATCCACTAACGTTTTATTGGCCTGTGGAGTTAAATGTGGCAATAACTGAAAAACAGGTTTTTATTACCAATTTATTTTTTTTTTTCGGAACCGCACATCCACAAGAATTTACCGTACTTGTTATATCTGTTAAAATATCTACGAAAGTCTCTCGTTTTGCCATGAACAGTTTTTATAGTAATAAATCGGGGGTGGCTCTCCCTAAATTTTTCACTAATTTACCGTCGTAATACAGAGGACAATTTTTTATTAAATATTCAATTGAATTCATTATTTTTACTTAAAATAAAAAAAAAATCACTGCTGCCGGTCACTGTTCGAACAGCACCCGATTCCAGCCAAATACAGCGACTAGACGTACGGTTTCCATGGCAACGGTGTAAATAAAACGTCTAAATGGGCAACATATCGTATATCCAAGACACAACATCTCCAGATGTTTTAACACATTTTATACAAATGGAGCGAGATAAAAAAAAATACTATTGATAATTATGATGCAAATTTGTTTCAATGGGCTTCGATTTAATCACAATTTTTACATATTTTCACCAAAGGGCAACCGCCTGTCTGTGCCATTCTAACCCTTATATTCATGCAATAGAATTTTGGTGTTTGTTAATTTAGTGTGCTGTAAACAATACAGTGTATGTGTGAAATTAACCGTTCGATCTTTATTTTGTGTTTTGTAAACATTCTAGAATTATTAACAGTCGTAAAGCGTCAGTTCAATTTTCTACCGATCAACTGTTTTAAACAATTAATTTTTACAGATAACGAAAATCCGTAGTTAAAAGCTGTACAAGTACTTATCAAAGTTCGGAATAAGTAAAATTTAAAAGCAATAATTATCACCCAGTGATAATTTCCATTTGACTTTTATCACTTTCATCAATAATCATCGGAATCAAAGTATAATTTTATGTAATGTTGGTTAAAATTATATTTGTCACAGGTTTGCAAATGCAGGTATGTAATGCATTTAAAATTAAAGTTTTCTTTGTACACTCAAAAGAGTAATAATAAAAAGCAACTCGTACAGTAGCCATCTCACAAATAACATGCGATAAAAAAACAAAAGAACGTAATTAGCCCCGCCCACCCACCCTGTCTCGTTTTCGGTGATTGATTTTATCCGATCAGAATGAAACGAATGATCTGAACAAAAATAAAATTAGTCGTTGGCAAATAACATACTCTCTAAGAAAGTAGAGCTTGGGTGGGCGGGGCTAGTATTTGGTAATTTAAGACTAATTTTGGCATTTTTGACATTTTCAACCATTTCTCAACCAAGTGTATCCGAAAATTAGTTGAAGACGTTTTCTTGTAAATTTCGATATTCAGAAGTCATTTTCGGATTCGTTTCTTCGGAAATTTCTACCGTTTTTCTAAAATCGCTAATTGAATTGTAACAACTGTTAGAGTTTCATCAAAATATATTGTAGATATAAAAGGAAATTATTATTAATTTTTGTTCCATTATTCCATTATTAGTTTCCACTCTCACTCGACAAAAGAACATAATTAGGCCCGCCCACCCACCCTTTCTCCTTTTCGGTGATTAATTTTATCCGATATCAATGAAATGAATGACCTTATACTGAACAGAAATAAAAGTAGTCGTTAGAATGAGAAAAGGGGCGTGGGCGGGGCTAGTACTTTCTAAGAAAAGACTAATTTTAACAAAAAAAGTTACGATTAGCGCTTTTTTTCTACTTTTTTCACATTCTAGATTCTATTTTTAGTTCCCATTCCCAGTCGAAACGGGGGGTGGGGCTTCTCTTTTGGTTTTCTTTTTTAATTAATAACTTTTGTTTTCTTTGTATAACACGATTACTAAAGAACATATTTCACATGGTAATTTCTCGCAGAAAAATAAGGATTTTATAATTAAGCACCGCCCTCGGCTTACGACGAATAAAAAAGTCATCAGAATGTAGATAGGGCGGGTGGGCGGGGCTTATACTTTGCCTTTTTTTCTGAACAAGTGTAGTCATCGTTTCACAACAAGAAACTTAAATCATGTTTAAAATGGTAAATTTGTATAGGGAAATATCGATTTTGCTCCGCCTCTCGGTCTGACAACGAATGAAAAATTCATCACGATTGAGATCGAGACGGAGGGGTGGGGCTTCTCCTTTGGATTTCTTTTTGAATTAATACCTTTAGTTTTCTTTGTATAACACGATCACTTAAGAACATATTTCACATGGTAATATATCGTAGAAAAACAAGGATTTTACAATTAAGCTCCGCCCTCGGTTTACGACGAATAAAAAAATTATCAGAATGGAGATAGGGCGGGTGGGCGGGGGCTTATATTTTGCCTTTTTTTTTTCTTAATATGTGTAGTCATCTTTTCACAACAAGAAACTTAAATCTTGTTTAAAATGGTAAATTTGTATAGGGAAATATCGATTTTGCTTCGCCTCTCGGTCTGACAACGAAGGAAAAATTCATTACGACTGAGATCGAGACGGAGGGGTAGGGCTTCTCCTTTGGATTTCTTTTTTAATTAATACATTTAGTTTTCTTTGTATAACACGATCACTTAAGAACATATTTCACATGGTAATTTCCGTTAGAAAAATAAGGATTTTATAATTAAGCTCCACCCCTCGGCTTATGATGAATAAAAAAAATCATCAAAATGCAGATAGGGCGGGTGGGCGGGGCTTATATTTTGCCTTTTTTTCTTAATATACATGGTCATCTTTATACAACAAGAAACTTAAAACGTGTTTAAAATGGCACAATTTTGCTTTTTTACATGTTGATCGTCTTTTATCGCTAAAACGTACGTCTGCGTCTTCATTGACACGATATGTCAAAAAAGTGAGGTTAAAACGAAATGACATGATGTAAGCTTGAACGCACAAACAATAAAATTAACGAAACGACGGATTTCGTAGAGATGACAATGAATCTGCACACATTTGTTTTTTTTTTTTGCAACCTACGTTCCCGAAGAAAAAGACCAACAATCAACTAGCAACCAAAGACTTTTTTCTAGCTCATTTCGATACAACTTTTTGCAAAATGTCGATTTTTACGATGTGAATTTCCCATTTTTCACAAGGCAGCTAACAACTTTTTTATTAGCTTCTACGCATTAATATTTTATCTGAGTACCTATCAAAGCAACAAAAAGACATGCATCGGTACCTGTGATATGCATCCATGATAATTGATAACACTGAATTTTTGACCCAGATTTACCCTGCTAACGTTGCTATGAAACTGCAGTCGCTGCACCGATTGCATCTAGCGGTTCCATGGAGACCAGCGAACGGTGCAGACAAAGAATAAAATCAATTCGAAGTTTATGTATCACGTAAAATGGGATTTGTGACGGTTATATAAGTGTACTGCACAGAACGTGTCTGTGCAAGGGTATTTCACCTAAGGATTACCCGTCACCTTTTTTTGGGTGTTTTTTTTTTAGAATACCAGTTGATAAAATTTGGAAGACCCAGGCAT